GAGAGCACCGCCGTGCCCCCACGCGCCCCGCGCCGTACCTGGAGCCGGCCCGGCCGGCCTCGCCCTCAGGGCCACGGAACATGTCGACCGCTGCAGGCGCCTCCCTCAACTCGCGCGCTGCGCTTCCAGCCGGCCGCGCAGGTAGCGAGGCCGTCCGCCCGCACCCATTGGACATCGCCGACGCCCATCACTCCTCCGTAGCCTATCGCGACGCCGGGTCCCGCCCCCCGCCTCTTCCCAACAAGGGAGGGGCTTGGAAAGGCCGGCGCCGCGCTCGCAGCCGAGTGGTGGAAGCGGGCGCCGCTCATGGCGTTGAGCACTAGCATTGGACGGCAGGCCGGCTGAGGGCGGGCCAAGGAGGAGGTGTCGGTCAGGAAAGGCGTTAGGGCTCCAGGTAGCTTAGGCGACCGCCCAGACCTCGGGCTCGCCCTGCACCTGAGCCGCACCTGCCCGCCCCAGCACCCCAAGGGCACACTGTCCTCAAAAACAGGCACAATGACCATCGTTAAATCAAGTATTAGTATGTATTTATGCACATTAGAAACATTTACAAGTTGAACTGGAAATTTAGACATAAGAAGTTTAACAGCTTTTATTATATTAAATAACCAAAACACCTTTTATTCCCCAAATTGGTAAAGAATAAATAATATAATTTACAATATGGTACAAAAAATAATCAGGAAGGACAGGCATTTTGCTTTATACATACACTGTATATTTATAATCTATAAAACAAATTCACATCTCAAGCCGAAAACCTTTGATGATATGGCTTAATGATTATTAAAGGAAACAGCAATAAGTTCTGCTGCCCCGCCCATCCGCTCTGGAGCGAGTTATGCTGTTAGAGAGCGAAGGGTACAGGTTGCTGCAGCGCTTCCGGGATTCAACTGACTTCATGTGACTCACAAGTTACTGCGAGATAGGAGAACTTTGACAGCTGGGAAAGGTTCTGTGCGTTTTCCTTTTCTGTTCTGCTTTTCAAATTAAATCTTTCCTTTTAGATTTTCTTAAGACAAAGTGCTACATTGCCTCACAAATGCATCTGACAGATCTCAACGCTTAAAGAGAAAACGTAATTGTTTCCCTCCCAACTTGTTCCCAGAGTATTGTATTCCACTTTTCTTTGCAGACCAGGTTTGGACTCAATGGTGTGATCGAGTTAGATTCTATTAAACTGAAAAGGTAATCCACGAGTAATGAGGCCACAGGCAGAATGACAAAGAATGGGATTCTGCTAAGAACCAATCAGCTGATGAACTGTCCCCCAAGATCCCCACTCCCTGAGCAAGTATGCTACACCTGCAAGATACAGAAAGGTGAAAAAAAAAAGTCATGAGCCTCAACTTGCCTCTGCATCCTCTAAAGGATGGAATACTCACCACTGCATATTCACAGTGAATAAAGAGGCGAAAACACCAACTTCCTTGACACCAGAGATACTTGGTCTCAATCTTTAGAAAGGATGAATCAGCAAAAATATCCCAGACAACATTAGAGGGACTAGGAATTTTTTTTCAAGAAACCGATCTTGTCTTAATCATGACATGCTCAGATGCACAGAGGAAGCCACAGGCTCACGCTGAGACCATCACAACTTCTTTTGGAAAGCAGAGGAAGATGCAGGAAGTGGAGGCTTCTCTGCTTGGATCTTTTGAAAATTTTAGCCTTCAACAGCTGCCTGCTTTTATACATAAGTATTCATTTAGGCTAGGAGAAAATGCATCCATTGTGTTTCTGCTACAAATGACACTATTTCCCCTCGATGTGGCAAGCACTGCATATACCTGCCTGGTTGCTAAAGCAACAGCAGAATTTTCAGAATCCTGTCAACTTTATTATACAAAAGATAGGTCAGTCCACCCTCCTCTGTAACCTACCTACCTACCACATGAGACAAGGACACAGTCAGCTGTTGCCGAATGGATGCTAGGCCAAAGAACCACGTGCTTCTGGATAAAGAGCCTACAAAAGCGAGTCTAATCTACAAGGTTCTCCTTTTAGGTGTCACTGAGTAACACAGACTGCTTTGGAGTGTCCCCAATGGACAAGCAACTCATGACCTCTCCCTTCTGGTGCAGCGCGTGTTGCTGTCAGGCACTGCCCCAGCATCAGTGCTGCACTGTGACTCGGCATCGATGGCCCTTGACTGTGGGAGCACGAGAAAGCCAGCAGTGCCCAGGCTCAGCCTGGTATCCTAACCTACCACAGATGAGCAAATTAGATGCCCAGAGAGCCACTGACCCTCGTCAGCTTAGTAGGATGCTAATTTCAAGAGGCTGATATATTAGGCACAAAACACAAGCTGGTTCAAAGATACTCTGCTTTGAACATCGCTGCCTAAATCTCTCAGTAAAGCAGCACCATGTTCCTTTTTGCATCCCTGCAGAACTTTGGGACTGTTTTCTTAAGATCCTGTGTCAAGAGCTGAAGGAGGGAAGCCACCTTACAGGAAAAGATCAGAAAAGCTTGAGACAAAGGACGGAAGCTCCTACCCAGAAGCCCACTGTCCCCTCCATCTCCTCCCACTGGCTCCGAGTGCACGACCAGTTTGTAGTCTAGAGTGGCTGAGTGCGCCCACTGCTCGTACATGCCGGAGGCCTGCCTTCCCCTTTTTACCTGGTTCCCTTCTTCACTGAGGACAGAGAGGGAAGCCGGTAGAGAGGGCAGGGGCTGGCACAAAAAGCTGCCACTCCTCACAGGAGGGGAAAGTTGGGGGGGCAGGGAAGTGGTATGCAGATGGGTTAGAAAAGCCAAATCAATCCTGGTTACTGGGCTAAGGGAGAAGTGGGAGGTGGGACTGTGGCACAGGCATTACCTGCCTGACACCACAGCATGGCTCCCAGCCACACTGGATGTAGCTGGAAAGTGATTCATGTGTTTGCACTTCCGGAGCTGAGATGGCAAAAGAACCCTTGGTGCTCCATTCTGGGGAAAGACTGGATGTTGGGCCATCCCCAGTAATGACAACTGGTCACCTAATGGGGGTTGAGGAAGAAACCACCAAAAGGACAAGGGTTTGGTGAGCTCTGACCACATCTGGATGTCTGAACCCTTGCCTGGGTTCCCTGACCTGGAAGAAGAGAAACATGCCGCCTGTGGGCAAAGGTACTTGTGAACGATTAAGTATGTGCACAGGGGACACCCCGCACCACTGTTAGTGAAAGGCAGAGAAGGCTCTGGAGAAGAGAAGACCTTCCCCGCAAAGACAGATTTGTCTCAGGTGCCAAACAGTAATACCTCTAGCATTGAAGAAGTCTTATCTGTAGTTGTAGTAGTACTTAAGGGTCTTCCCAGAGAAATAACATGAGACCACCTAGAGGAAAACTGCAGATGGACATGGGAAGAAAACCAACCAAACAGGGGACTCTGTTCTTCCTCTCCCATGTCTCCTCATTTTTACAACACAAGAATAACACTTTCAGCAGGCTGAGCAGGATCATATAGGCAGCCCACACAGCCTGCAAAAGACATGGTTCTCTCCCTTTCCTGTTAAGTCGGCCAGGAGAAAACCTCTAGAGGGGAAGCACTAGGCAAGGGTCAGTGTTTTTGGTGACACTGCCCTGGGACCCTTCTGCTGCCCCCTAAAGTATCTGCTGTCTCAGCGTGTGGATACCAAGAGGCAGGAGCCCAGGCCACATCCACTGTCCTCCCCGTCATCCGCATAAAGGATGGCTGCACTGTGGCAGATTTGGCAAAAGGACAGTGGCAGTGTCCCGGAGCCTCCCTGCAGGGAGGGGAGATGGCAACTCCCCAGTATGCAATGACAAGGCCAAAGCATACACACTCCCTTCTCCTACAGAGAAAACCCACGAATGTCTAGCGCAGCCAATGAGGCAGAATGTGGACTGAAACAGGATCGCTGCAGAGCCTCGTGCCGCCCGGCACTGGTGAGGTGCCACTCCCACACCACGGCAGTTCCTGTCCTCAGCCTGGGACACCGCCGCCCTCTGCTCATTGGGAATTGGCTGTGACCAGCTATTCCTATATGTTGCACACTGTGGGGTGCAGAGGTGCCTCTGTTCAGACTGTCTGTGGGGTCCTGGGCTTGATTTGTTTTCTATAGTTTGAAGAAGGTTTCATCTACCACAGATAAGGACTACCAGCCTGTAAGCCCTACCATACAGCCTGCAGAGTGCCCCTGCCATGAAGTGCGGTCACTGGGAGAGGTCACCAGTGGGGGGGCCACCTCCACCGTTATCGAATAGAATCTCTCGGCGGCCAGGCTCCGTGATGGATAGCTCTTGGGCCAGGTCATTGAACCGAGATATGTAATCAATGCTGTTTTCATTCATCATGCACACCAGCTGGGAATCCACCACCTGTAGGACAAAGATAAAGGAAGATCGGGTCAGCTGGCCTGTCATTTGGATTGGAAGCAAGTGGCCACCACAGTGGGGATGTCAGCAGAAGGTGGTTCTCTACCGAGATGATAATCTCCTATCGCCTCCGCTGCTGGTGGCCCAGTACTCTGCAGAGATCTGAACATGCACTCTTTCGCCAAGCTTTCATGGAGGCCCTGGCCCATCGGGCAGCTGGGATGAGGGTGGTGGCTCTCCCCCTCCTGAGATTCATGGGGCAGACAGTCAATAAACACAGGCAAATGGTATACAACGGAGTGCAGGGCTTGTGGAGCAGCCTGAAGGGAGCAGAAGCAGAGTGAGGGGAGAGTATGCCATGGGGTGGAAGTCAGAGAAGGGTTCTCCAAGGAGCTGGATCTGAGCAGAAGTTCAGAAGAATGTCACACACACATGTGAGGGAAGCACACACCCATGTGAAGAAACAGCAGGTGCAAAGGTCCTGAGGGGGAACAGGCAACCCAAGAAGGATGGTGGATGTGACGTGGTGAGGGAGGCACAGAGCAGAGGACGAGCACAGGGTTGCAGGTCTAGGGGGAGGGTAGTGGGGACTCAGCACTAGGACTCTATCCTGCAGGCAAATTCACTGAGTCTACATACAGTTCCCACTGTTTACTGTCTGTGGCCTCTGCTGGAGTGGAGCCGTGTGAAGACAGAGCCTTCGTTTTGCTCACTCAGTGCCTGTGGTAGTACCTGGCACACAGTAGGCCCTGAGTAAGTATTTGCTGGTGAACACCATGACATAACTAATGAATGGGAAGCCTCTGGGTAACTCTGTGTAGACCTCTGATATGATTTGAACTTTAAACTTGTTTTTCTTGCTCTTCACAGCACAGCTCACTGGCCTGCCTTGTGTGGCAGGCCGCCCCTCTGACCAGGGTTTAAACTGTTTACTATGGAAGCGTCCATCGACCTGTGGCAACCCAGCTCCCCTCTCCTCACACACTCCTCACCCTGTCACTTCTTCCAAATCCCACCCTCAGCCAATTTCATGCACACATTTCAAATTCTGCTTCTAGACGATGTGGCTGGGTTAAGATGGGGTTTAGGTCCTCATTAAAGTCCACAGCATAGAGTTTAAGAGGAAATGATGAAATGGTGCTCCCTGAAACATCTCTTCTTTAAATTTAATTAGACAAATTATACTCAAACTAGTAGATGCCCTGGGAAGGCAATCAACATTAGGGCTAATAAAAAGCTTGAATAGTATAAAAGGGCTGGAGGAGGTATTGTAGAACCTTTCTAGCACTTATGAGAGGTAAATTAACACCAATTGCTAAACATAGAAACTGGATAAATTTCAATATTCATTTAGAAATTAATTTTATGATGCTGTCCTAAGTATTAAAATACAGGTTATACTTAAATCATTCAAAGTTTGGCATGTTCACACATGTGCACAAAGTATTTGATAGATATTTACACACTGGGAGACACAATTATGGTCTGACTTTGGAGTTTTGGCAGATCTGGGTTCAAATTCTGGCAAGTTTCCCTACTAGCTTTTTTTGGGTGCGTGTGATCCGAACCCTCGGGCGGGAGCGCCGCCGCGCTTCCCAAGCGGCGCACTATCCAGTGCGCCACCGGGCCGGCCCCGCTACCATGTTTTTAAGTGTGGAGTTTTTCGTGAAGTCCTTTTGCTGGGGCGGTTATTTGCTCTTTCTGCAGGTAAGTATGTTTAAGTTACTTGCTATGGTCATGATGTTTCACAAGGTATCAGCTACGTCTGTTCCACATGGCTCACTTTCATGTGCAATAAGTCACCCAGGCATCTTGTTAAAGATGTAAATTCTGATTTGCAGGCCTTGGGTGGGCCCGAGAGTCTACATTTCTAACTCCAAGGTGTTTCTGCAGCTGGTCTGTAGACCATACATGAACAGCGAGGTCCTGACATGCCGCCTCAGGACGTCTGTGCCCTGCTTCTCTCCATAGGAGCCAGGTGGTTACAAGTGTCCACGCAAACATGGGAAGGGAGAGAGACTGGTTTCTTATGGAACATGAGGGCTACAAGGTGTTCTCTGAATAAAGATTCTGTGGTCAAATGGGTTTGGGAAATGCCATACGTGGTGGGAGGGAGATTCATTACACTATTGGTCTACGTTTCTATTTGGCTAAAATTTCCAATCATGTCATGGCTTGGATCAGAATTCTCCAAAGTCTGTCCTTAAGTTCACCCTCTCAACATGCAAGTTTGCACTAGGATACTGAGAAGCTGAGGACTCCATGGGAAACAGCTGTTTTGAACCTTGATCCAGAGTTTCCCTCAAGTATTTGATGACAAAATCCCTGAGGAATACCAGCATCTCCATATCCAGGGAACCAGGTCTGGGAAGCACTGCTCCAGGATAGAGCCCATGTGAGCAGCATTTTAGACTTGGAATCCTCTCGCTCTTGAGTGCACCGTTCGTCCGCACTTTTTTTGTTCATGCATGCTGTGTGCCTGTCGTCACGCCTGCAATATGTGCAGATGGCCTGGCTAAAGAACAGAGGGACACTGCCTTGGTCACACATCGAGTCTCGCCTCCATGTTGGGGATCTGCCCCCACACGCCTCCTACCTGCAGTGTCCAGAGCATAGGGAAGTGCGAGCTCGGTGGAGGTGCACCGTGCCCCTCTGCAGAGCCCAGGCCCAGCTTCCCGGGCCTGGCCAGGACACATACAGGAGGCACTGCTCAAAGGTCCCCTGCCATGAGGATGGCAGCAGTGATAACAAGCACTCACAAGTGCCACATGCTCCTACACAATGGCACCAGCACCTCAACCCAGGAAACCCAGGCAGCTGAGGTCATGGCTGGTGAAGGACATAATGAGATCCAAACCTAGCTCAGGCTGTCTGCAGAGACCCCACTCCACCCCGACACCAGGGCATCCCAGGTTCAGACACCTTCACAGGTCAGTGGTTCCCTAGATGCGCCACTTGCGCCATGTGGAAATGAACACTAGTCCAGTGTCGCCAGACCTCCCTGTTCTTGGGAGAGGTGGGGCCTGGATTTGTGTATGCTTAACCCCTGGCGAGCAGTACTCAAAAACCCACAGGTCTGCAGGAGAGATCTAGCAACCCCCAGGCACAGGGCTGGATGGTCAAGTTCAGGTGCAGAGTCAGCACACATACCTCTGCAACATCGGCCAGGGATCTGGACACAAATGAGTCCCGCGAGTTTCCATCCAGCAAGCTGGGGCCAAGCAAGGAGGTACCACTGTTTGTCCCAACAGGAGTTGGCAACATTTTCCGGCTCTTCTCTGGGGAGATGAAACTTGCTGCAGAGAGAAGCCAAGAGGAGAATACCCTGAGACCCAGTCTGGTCTGGACAAGTCCAATGGAAGGGTCCTGGGGCTGAGGTGGTGGCTGGCCAGGCCACAGGCTGCATGAGTGCTTGGGAGGGTATTGCTAGGCTGGGGCTGGCTTTCCTCATGGAGTGAGCCTCAGAGCACACATGCACCTCACTTTCCAGGAGCCCCAGCATCCCCGTCTGCTTGCCATCCCCCACCCCACATTGTATCCCACGTGACCAATCCCTCACTGATGGGCATTAAGGCTGTTTCCAACTTCTTGTGATTCGTATTTGACTTTGCACACGTCTATACTGTTGTATGTGACAACAGGAAACACTTGCTGGGTGCTGGCCCCTCTGCACCTCCAGACCCTGAGCCCCCAATTGTCTGGGCCACCTGAGAGGCGTGGCACTCACAGCCGGGCTGGCTGAGCTCATCATGTATATAACACACCCTTCCCTGGGGTGGTCTGTCACTGTGAACATCTGCATGCCCTGGCTGCTCTCTGACACCTCAAGGGGACAGATCCCAGACAACAGAAGCTCTTCCTGTATAGCAAACAGTGGCCAGGCTTCTTTCTCTAACAAACCCTTTCCACCACAATTAGGCCGGGCACCCAGAGAGCCAACAGGTGGTGGGGAGCAGGAGAACACACCTATGAACTCTCCAGCCTGCAGTCAAGAATAGGCCATAAGACGGCTGAACACCCACTTCAGAATATTTTATTGACTCCAGAAAGAAGGAAACTAAGAGAGCGCAGAGACACCAATCTTTTCTTTCCTGCCAGTGGCAGATTCCCGCTCAAAGTTGGATGAACAAGAAAGGGCACAGGGAACCACATGGGGAAAGGGAATGTTCTACATCTTGATCAAATTGTGGGTTGCCAGGTGCACGTGCTTGTGAAAGCTTAGTGAACTGTGCATTTTCCCACACATAAGTTAGATCTAAAAAAACTAACTCAGAGAAAAATTAAACAAAAAAACTAAAAAAACCCCTCCAAAACTAACTCAGAAAAAAATAAACACTTGAGAAACAAACAGGCAAATGGTTCTAGTGGAAGTCTGGCCACAGATTTATGAGATTCCAGGGTCCTCACACGTCAGCTCCCTATGGACCTGGGGCAGGAGGCCTGGCTGCTTCTTAGACACTCACCTAACAAGCTGCTGAGTGAGGAGTCTGTGGAGTCACTGGGGTACCACTGCGGGTCGTGGGTGGGAGAGGTGATCCAGTTTGGCTGGGGGCTGCTGGACGGGGAAGGCAGACTCTTGGAACTGTCACTGCCATTCAGTTTTGCTGGAGAAAGAGGGACCCCTTCACCTGTCAACCAAAATCCTGGTCAGAGACGCCTCGTGAGGGTGAATGGTACCCTGCTTCCCCATCCCCCCTCGAAGAAGGCAGCGGGTCGCATGCTACGCGCTGCTGAACCACTGGCGCCCCATACCTGCAGGGCAACACTGATCTACAGAGGACAGCAAAGCCTTCAGGGGGCTTCGCGAGACAGGAAGGACACGATGCAGAATGACAGTAATGGAAGCAACCACCACGCACGAAGCGGGCCCAGTGCAGAGAGCTTTAGGACCCCTCTGTGGTGCTTCTGACAGCCCTGGAAGGTGCATGTCATTCCCAGCGCACCACTGAGAACAGAAAGGCCAAACAGTGGGGTGGCCCTCCCCAGGCTAACCAACTGCAGTGAGCTCATGCCTATCTCCAGCCCCACCTGCGTCCCATCAGGAGTACCACCCTGAGAGCAGGGAGACCTAAGCCTCGGCAGGTACAGTCCACCCACTTCCTCACCTCTGCACACCCGTAGGCCGGCTACCCACATTCAGAGTCCACTAGGGAAACGCCCTCCTCTCCCCAGACTGGAGAAAGCCTGGCAGCTACACTGCTCCCATCTTAGGGTCAAGAGCAATCCTACCGGCCATCAGTCCACACACCCCTCATTGGTCTGCCTGGCCCTGCCACAGCCAGGCAGCACCTTGTGGTGTCAGAGAGTTAACACTCAAAAATGACAGCGGAGTTGGAACATTCTCAGAAAGTGTAGCAAATACTCAGAAAGGAGGTGAAGATGCTGCAGCACTCATGGGACAGCCCCTTCCTGAAGGGAGCCTGCCTCCAGGGGGGCAGCGGGAGGCCACCTGCTGCATACCGTACTGGCCAGAGCTGATGGCAATCTCGATGATGGAGTCGCTGATGTGTGTGGCGGGCTCCCCCTGCGACAGCACGTCCTCGGGTGGGCCAGGCAGAGAGATGTCCAGCAGTGCAGAGACGTTGGGCGGAGAGAGCCGGGTGCTGGAGGTCTCTGTTGAAGGCAGGGGTGTGGAGAGGCCGTTCTGGAGAGGAGCCTTGGGCAGCTCGGACAAGGAGAGAATGGATGCACCCTGCTGGGAGACAAGCACTGTTGAGACACAGCCCATCAAAACCTGTAACAAGCAACAAAAAATCAACCTCAGCCTCAGAGGTGTGAGCGCAGCAGTCACCCACCCTTCCACGGGAGGGACACACTTGGGAACTGACTTCTCCTGAGAACACGAGGGCTGGCAGAGTCAGAAAGCCAGGCCAAAGTGGCCTGCACTTGCTCCGACTGCCACCAGCCAGACAGTGGAAGTGCACAGGCAAAGAGTGGGTGCCAGGGGTGTTACCAGCTGCCAGCTTCCTCCTCCCTGGCCAAGAAAACTCAGTCCTTCCCTAACTGGGTCTGAATCAGCCAGCCTCACCGAGGGGAAGACAGAGATCTGAGATGGGAGGCAATACGCCAGTCATTCACTCGCGGCAGCAGGCAAGCAGGTGTGGGAGGACAGAATCACTGAACATCACGGCAGCACAGGGCACAGAAGCCGGGCCACTGGCAGGACTAGGTCCAGGGGTGGCTAATTTGCTCATCAGCCCCAAAGCGCACACTACCTGGAAACCATCTGCCACAGGCTCCTGCTCAGGCCTTGAGGGGACGCTGATGAATGGGTTGCTTGTGCCCTACAAGAACACCAGGAAGGCCAGTGAGAGGCTGGCCCCAGTGCGGCAGAATGCTGCCCAGCACCCTCCAGGAACTCAGCCCCGGAGAGCTGTTCAGTTGCCCTGGCCTCCCAACAGCCAGAAGCACAGTAAGTGGGTCACAGTCTAGACTGGCAATGCTGTAAAGTTGCTTTTGGAGTGTGGGCTCTGCGCTTAAAATGTTTTGTTGATCCAAAGAGTAAACTCAAGTTCTATTGAGAAGTTGACCTCATAGTCTGCAGGCAGGCCTGGGCCCTGGGTTCCCATCGGGGTCGGCCTACCCACCCTCCCTCAGGCAGCTCTTGAGCAGGCTGTGGGCAGCAGAGAGACCATTGCTCACGTAGATGAAGGGAATTCTCAGAGATGCCCAAGCAGGAGGCCGGGGGCTGCTGCTGGCCACTCAGTTACAGTCACTTCTCAGACTGAGCTGCATCTCCATGCTCATCTTAGCTCTGGATCCATGTCACACAGGGCCTGTCCCCCACCTCCCTGCAGTGGATCTGGACCCCCATCCTGCTCTGTGGTGCACAGTGCTCGCTCAGCCACAGCCTCCCCAGGTCAGCAGCTCTCCTCCAGCCCATCAGGCCCAACCTTTCCAAAGGCAGAGCTGTAGTCCAGCATGACCTCTGCCCTGTAGCCTTGGTTCCCACCCCAGAAGCTGGTGGCAGTTCAGCGAAGTCCTTCTAAATACACTAACCCCCACGGCAGGGATGGGGTCTCCATTCTGGTGGGTTCCAGTGCAGTCCTGACTTGAGACGGCAGCTGTCACCTTGTCTGAAGACAGTGGAGAGATGCCAGACAAGCCCTCAGTATCCAAGACAGGGAGGGGGCTCCCAGGGATGATGCCGGCACTTTTAGCTGCTAAGTCAATAGCACCTGGCAACAGAAACAACATTTTAAATCTCTGCTCTACTGACACCCCATAATATGTTCCAAGAGGGCTGAAGAATAGCTTCTCCCTCACACCTCATTTCAATGCAAAAGCCAATGGCTTTAAAGGATAGGAGGCATTATGGTTTGAAGAAGAAAACACCCAAAAATCCTGTGACAATAACATTGCTCAGAAACCTTTCACAGTGGCTGTCACTGTGCAGGTTACAGACTTACTGGCCAGGTGACTCGTGGTCTGGGGTGGAAGGACCTTGGGCACAATTGGCCGAGACAGAGCTGCTTTGGTCAGAGAAGACTGGATGGGCCGGAAGGAACCTCTCCCTGTGAGGGTGGGGACAAGAGCAGACACGTCAGCCCTACCCGTCCATGCCCCCTTACCACAAGACGGGGCTGCAGGGGTTCTTTTACACGACTGTCAGGATCACAGGAGCTGACCCAAGCAGGAAACCACTGAATGCTGCAAGCACTTGCTAACTGGAGGAGTCAGAGGTCACAAAGGCTCCCAACCGGAAGAGGAGGTCTGGCATTAGCCACAGTGACACCACCATGCCCCCTCCTCTGCCCCAGGAGCTGCTGAAAGGGAGACGTCATCACTGTCGTCTGTGGCAATGGCCCTTTAAGGGTGAAGAACTGAGCTGCAGGCACCTCTGAGGCAGCTGTAGTAGCAGATCTTGACCAGGACTCTGCCACTACAATGTGATTTCACCCTCAGGCTTTCTACAGCTGAGAAGTAGGCATGAGGGCTGGCAGTTGGCTCAGTTAGCTAGAGCACGGTGTCATAACACTAAAGTCAAGGGTTCCGATCCCCGTACTGGCCAACCGCCAAAAAAGAAAAAAAAAAAAGAAAAGAAAAGCAGCCATGAGAAAAAGCAATGGACAGCTGTGTGGGTCTTGCCATAAAAAATGTGACACATGAAAATCAGACTGATAAGATAAATCACAGGGTATGTTTCACCAAAGGACTCTCACTATATAAGATTTACTTCAGGGCTGGCCGGTTAGCTCAGTTGGTTAGAACATGGTTCTGATAACACCAAGGTTCAGGGTTCAATCCCTGTATTGGCCAGACTTGAAAAAAAAAAAAAAAAAAGATTTACTTTAAAGAGCCAAGGTCCCACTGAATTTACAGAGTTACAGAAGCATGATTCCTATGCCCTAAGAACACATCTACCCTGTAAAATGCTTGACAAGACATTAAACATCAAAGGTGGCAACAGATGCTCCACTAAATTGAACCGAGTGAAGTGTGTGAGCCACGCTGGCCACCTGAGACATATTCCAAGGACACTCTCTCCACACTCCCTACCACAGAGGGCTGTGCCTTGCCAGCCATTGCAGCCCGTGCCCAACAGTAGGGCACAGGTGGTGTCTGCTGGTAGAACGAGCAAAGAGATGCTTGAGATGTCACTCACGGAGCCACGGAAATAACACCTGCCATTCCCACATGCGAGGCCACACTGAGGCGAGGAGATCCCGGGCCTCACCTGTGATGGAGGAATTAGACAGGACGGAGAAGGAGCAGACACTGTGGGGCTGGCTCTCAGACGGTCTAGGAAGCAGTGTTCTCTGTGAGGAGAAGTGGCAGACGTCAGCGACGAGGACTCCAGTGCCAGAAACTGGGCCACCAGAAACAACCCAATGACAGGAAGGCGAGTGTTCTAATGTCAGCCACACAAAGATGCCTGGCACAGTTATGTCCTGTGGACCCCAAGCCCCAGACCACTGGGTCCTCCCCAAAACCAATCCAGGGAGTCACAGCTTCCCAACGGAAAACTGCAGGAATGTCAGGATGATCCACCTTTAATCCAGAATGCTCTTCTAGATTAGGCTGGAATGCAACTAGTTATGTAAATCTGTTCATAACCACTGTAGTGGACCATCACGAGACCCCTGACTCTGGGCTGCCTCATGCAGGGGGACACAGAAGGACTAAAGGGTGCGGGATGCTCCTTCACAGGCTCCTGTATGTGGATGACTAAGTCTCAGTGTGCTCAGGGTGCCTGTGGGATGATGACAACTACTGTCCAAGAAAAAACTACATTAGCCACTAAAACAGTCAGTAGTCAAAATAAAACATTAACAGAAAAAAATCTGTCAAGCCAAGTGTCATGAGGAACTTCAGTCTCCTGGCACACAGCTTCTGTTCACTGCTAGTGTGTAAAGGACCCACGGCTCACTGAGATGTCTCCTGACCCCTTAGAGATGCACCACAGTGTCAGTACCAGCAGAGCCCGAGAGGAGGTGCTGCTGGAGACAGCAGGGGGTACAGTCTATCAACACGACAAGAACTACAGATGTTCTGAGCCAGCTTCGCTCCAAAGGCTAAGAAAGGTCTCAGCAGACTTACCGTAAAGGGCCAGGAAGGAAATATTTTAGGCTTTAAGGCCACACTCGATCTTGCCATTGTAGTGGGAAAGCAGCCATAGACAGTACAGAAATGAATAACCGCGTCTGTGTGCCAGTAAAACTTTATTTACAGAAATATTAGGTGGAAAAGACCACATGTTGTATGATCCCATTTATAGGAAATGCCCAGAATAGGCAAATCCACAGAGACAGAAAGTGGATTAGTGGTTGCCAGAGACTGGCAGGAGAGGCAACCTAAGTTCATAGGTGCAGCATATCTTTTTGGGGTGATGAAAATGTTCTGGAATTAGATGGTGGTGATGGTTGTAAAACCCTGTAAATATACTTAAAACCCACCAAATTATACACTTTAAATGGGTAAACTTTATGGTATGTGAATTATACGTGAACAAAGCTGTTTTAAATAAAAACAGGCAGTCCAGATGTAGCTCACGGGCCATAGTTTGCGAGCCTGGACAAAGCTCGTGCCCAGCCAGGGAGTGTCCCCATGTCCTGTGCACAGGATGAGATACAGCAACATTAAAAGAGCTAAAGCTGCATTAGGGTGAACAAAGACATCTAAGATTCAGAACACTTCTTCCTCAGACCTTCCATGTGATGTCATTTCTAAATAAACTAATCTCAATAGAAAATGAGATTTCTAAGAGTTTAACAAAAGGAAACCTGTGAATTAATGCAAAAAATAAACATTCATAAATTTCTAAGGCCACAGTTATTTCAGACTTCCAGCTCACTTCCTTTATCTTTTCACATCAAAATGGCAATGCCTGCCTTCTTGTGTGCCTCTGAGTCCCTACATTTCCCCTTGGACTGCATGTGGCATGTACAGGTCCTCCCAACACTCATTATATAAGCTCATGAGAGGTCTGGCCTCTGGCCGACCCACATGCCTTGCCAACTGCTTCCACTGACTAAATATTTATAGATGTTCTGATAGTTCTCAAATATATCCCAATCTGGGATATTTTTGAAACTTGACTTCCCAGGACTTTCTGGCTTTTTTGCAAGCAGTTTTCAATGTTGTTCAAAGACTAGCTGTACTTTCAGGTACCCTTAAGTTCCCTGTTATTACTTTTATTTATCCTATTCATAAGAAGGAAGAAAGGGTAAGAGATTCCCCCCATTTTACACCATGAAAACTTGAGACATGGAAGAAAACCAGTGTGTCCTGGTCAGCCCTGCCAGGGGGAGCCGGGGAAACACATGCAGATTTTTAATGAGGGTTCCTGACCTGGACCACCAATGGCTTCCGCAGGTGCCGGTTCCGTAATTTCCTGGGCTTTGGCAAGAAGAAATCTGACTGCATCTGTAAAGGAAATAGCATCCGACCCCTGAGGATGTATTCACAAACAGGGAGTTACGTGGCATGCGGGGTTACGTGGCCTGGCCCTTACACTGATGGAGCTCAGATGCTGGCGGAAAGTCAGTTCTGCCTCCTTACTAGGAGAGAAGAGCTTGCCGTGTCGGCTGTTAGGTGGCAAAGTTGTTGGGACAGCAAAAAGGCCACCATCTGAGTCACTGCTTCCTGTGCTGGAGGGACCAGCCACCAAGAGGGGTCTTGGAGGGTTTCTCAAACCTGGAAAACGAGAAGGGAGAATCAACATAGGACACTCACTCCACGGTGAATGGAGTTCTATCAAGAAGAAAGCCAGAAAGAAGTTCTCTTGACAACCCATTCAGTTGACTTGAAAGAATTTCCTATCTCAGTCCCATAAAAATACTGCTTTCCCGTCTTTCTCACTGAAATTCTTTTCCCATTGGGAGCTGACCATAACTCTCCTGGACAGGACAAAATCGATTCACCACTCTGTTCAATCCTCAGAGGGAAGAGTAGATTCACCATCAGAGACTTTTCAGAGCTAGAAGAGCCTTCAAGAACATCTAGCATAGACGGGAAGTCAGCACATTGTCTCCGTAAAGGGCCAGATAATTGGTGTCAGCTTTGTAAACTACATTGTCTCTGGGCAACTCAGCTCTGCATTCCAACACCAAAGCAACCACTGATAACATTCAAACAAAAGAGGGTGGCTGTGTGTCAATAAAACGTTATTTACAAAAAGCAGGCAATGGGCCAGATGTGGGCTGCAGACTGGTTTGCTGATCCCTGGTCTAAATCTCTAATTTTACTTTTGTAATGTGTATGTAGATTAAAACATCACATTGTACCCTATAAACATACACAATTATTATTTGTCAACTTAAAACAAATTAAGTTTTGGGCCGGCCCGTGGCTCACTCGGGAGAGTGCGGTGCTGATAACACCAAGGCCCCGGGTTCGGATCCCATATAGGGATGGCCGGTTCGCTCACTGGCTGAGCGTGGTGCTGACACCACCAAGTCAAGGGTTAAGATCCCCTTACCAGTCATCTTTTAAAAAAAAAAAAAAAAAAACAAATTAAGTTTTTAAATCTCTAGTTTTATAGAATCAGACCCAGAGATAAAGAAAGAGAAAATATTTATTTAAAAACTACTATTTTGAGATTCTACAAGCTGTTTCATCATCATCAGTGCTGCTGCAAACCTCATGGTAGGGACAAGTCCCCTTTCCTTATTCTCTATCTACAAATCTGTGAAATTAAACTGACACTCACAGCATCCACAGACCAGATTTTCTAAGTGCTGGTGTGGATTTCTAGAATTGTAGGTTCGTTGGTCTATAAGCATCTTCAATTCAACAGAGGAAATTAAAGAGTACATAGAATTAAGAAATTGAAAAAACAGCACATAAGGTGGAAAAGACTATACCACCCACCAGCTGCCCCATCACTGACAAACACACCTTTCTCTACAAGGACAAGAGACTCAGAGGGTGTTGTTGCCTTCTCCATCAGCCATAGGAGTGGGAGAAAGCAGAGGGGAAACAAAAAATAAGCAAGAGGCAGGAGGATGTGACCCTAACTCAGCGGCAGCCTGAACTTCTTCAACAGCCACCAGGAAGGATCCTCAAGGAGATAGAATCTTCAGCATTTAATAGGCAAGTTATTCACAACATAGTAAGTTAGAGAAAATATAAAGCCAGTGACATTCTCTGAAATGAAAATAATCTTATTGAACTATTAATACACAGCAGGACTCTACATTCAGCCAAAATGTTACCATATGTTCTGGTACACCCGTCCAGACCAGAGTTCTGCCTAACTTTGGGGTGCTGACTCTGAGGGACAGAGGCCAGACTGCATCTTGCACCATGCACACCAGTCACCAGAACAGAGACCCTGGGCCAGTACCAGATGGTTATGACGTCCAGAACCACTGAGGCATCCACAGCAAGAACACCTGCCTAATGCGTCTGTGATGACACCATTTGTGCCAAAGCGTAAAGGAGGCCTTTGGGGCACAGGACAGAACGGGCACACCCAGTCCTCAGCCTGGGCTATCCCCACCTCTCCAGCAGGTCTTGAGAAGATTGCAGGACTCCACCTGGCCAGAGGAGCACGCCAGGCTCACAATTACCTGCTCCGCGACAGAGAGGGACACGCCCCAGACCCATGGACACAGCCACAGAAAGCAAGCAAGTTTCTTTACCTTTATTTTTGTTGTTGTTGTTTGTTTTGTTTTTTTGTGACCGGTAAGGGGATCGCAACCCTTGGCTTGGTGTCGCCTGCACTGCGCTCAGCCAGTGAGCGAACCGGCCACCCCTATATAGGATCCGAACCCGCGGTGGGAGCGCCGCTGCGCTCCAAGTGCTGCACTCTCCCGAGTGAGCCACGGGGTCGGCCCCTTATTTTACCTTTAAAATTCATGCAGAAGGGCCGGCCCGTGGCTCACTCGGGAGAGTGTGGTACTGATAACACCAAGGCCCTGGGTCTGGATCCCATATAGGGATGGCCGGTTCGCTCACTGGCTGAGCATGGTGCTGACAACACCAAGTCAAGGGTTAAGATCCCCTTACCGGTCATCTTTAAAAAAAAAAAAAAAAAAAAAAAAAAATTCATGCAGAAGCCACCATTCTAGCCCTGATAATCTGCTTTATTGTTAAAATACTACAGGTTAAAAGCAAGTAAAACTGATGCCTCAGGGAAACTGGTCACGCTTATCTTGGGGTTTTATGTACCCAGTAACTCAGTTTATGAACCCTAATTTTAAATTACTTTTTTTTTCTTTTAAAAAAGATGACCGGTAAGGGGATCTTAACCCTTGACTTGATGTTGTCAGCACCATGCTCTCCCAAGTGAGCCAACCGGCTATCCCTATATAGGGATCTGAACCCTTGGCCTTGGTGTTATCAGCACCACACTCTCCCAAGTGAGCCACAGGCTGGCGCATGAACCCTGATTTTAAATTAAACTGCTGGCATATCCCCTGACAGAGGACTTTATTCTCCTGCTTTAGACGTTAAAAAAAAAAAAAATACCAAAATACCTCAGCTGCTATAGATTAGAAAGAATCAACCTTCTCAGGGGCTTTAAACCTCCATCTCATCCTATTGTGGAGGCTTCTGCTGGCCTCATGAAGCAAGACCCCCAAGTGACAGGACTGGCAAAGGCTGCTTCCTACCAGCTCCTGCACCCCGACCCCAAAATCATTAGTGCCAGGCCCTGGTGCTCACCCTCCCTATGAGGAGGTGGGAACTCCTTCACTTTAGCTGTCTGTTGGGCCGTGGCCTACTGGACAGCAGGGCAGGCCTCAGGCACACCTGCACCCATAGCCTCAGCCCAGTGTAACAGCCAGGACTATAAGCTGGCATAGCCAGGGCGGCCTGAGTCTCACCTGAGGGGCAAGGTGCAGAGCTGGGTGAGAAAGTCTTGCTGCGGAGGGTGGCCTGGTTCCGAGGGCAGCGGGGGCTCCGGGAGCTGATGGTCACCATCTTCCCTGGGGGAGTCGTTGACTGCTCCTCCTGGGCAGGCCTCACCGAGGCCATGGACATGGCATTGGCTTCTGGAGCCTGGAACAGAAACAGGCCAAACAGCATCAAACTCAGCACATGAAAAGTGGCTCTGAAATGAGATCCCCAGGGAAGGAGGCATGAATGCCCCTGAAATTCAGAAGGTGAAGGGGTCAGGGACCATGCTTCCATGAGGCCAGAGGTCAGAGGTCAAAGACATCTGACTTCAATGCCCCTCAAAGTCATTCGGCAGCTTGCCAGTTTTAAAAATCATAGGTCAGAGAAGTAATGAAAACAACTGCCCCACGAGGCCCACCCCGTGTCCTCACCACCTGTGTGGTGGCAAGGGGCGAGTCCTGTGGTGGAGGGAGAGGGACAGGGCCTAATGCGGCCTGGTCTTCACCACCCAAGCAGTGCTCAAGTTGCCAGGTGCGACAGCTGGCCTCTTAAAAAAGCACTATTAGAAAGCCAGCCTAGACGACCACACAGGCCTCTTCGGCTTGTGAGTCATAGGAAAGAAACAGATTAACTTTCTAGAGTCAAATGCAATCACAACCAAGAGCACAGGTCCAAGCCCTAGCCTCGCAGAGTTTCACAGGCCTGCGTACAGCTCCAGGCCTGTGCAGATGCAGCTGTTATGTCCTGGGGTCCCGCCACAGAGACGCCATCCCTGTTCTTGTCCTGGTGCCCTCGCTCCCCCTGGGAAGACTTGGCCAGATTCCCAGTTTCTCAGCTTTCCTTGGTGCCTACCCCACGGTGGTCCCACCTGGAGCAACCTTGCCTGTGAATTATGAAGCTCATGTGCCAGGCTCTCAACAAAGCCTCGCCCACTCTCCCGCTCAGCCCTTCAGCCCCCATTCCTGCCCCTCTGCCTTTCCATGGGACCTGTGACCCCGGGAACCTTCCTATGTGGCTTCTTCCACCTCTGACTAAGCACTTTAGCTGGCCTCCCACGTCTCTGGGGACTCAGTGTTTGGGGCACCTGCTTGTCACAGCTCTGCCAGGTGAGAAATGGCAGTGAGAAGGAGAACCACAGGGCCAGGCAACAGGCACCTCTGCTGGTGGTTCTCAAAGCTGAGCAGCATCAGCCACCTGGGGGCTTGTCAGCCCTCAGTCTGCTGAGCTCTCCCTCTACCAGCTTCATTTCCAAAAAGGTCCCAGGTGAGGCTACTGCTGCCTTGCCACTCTCTGCAGGACAACTTCCAACCTGCCCCACTTCTGCTCACTGGGGCCAAGGCCGGGACCTTTGCCTGTCCCAAGATGCCTGCTGCCTTCTGCGCCTGCCTGGGCCTCCTTCCCCAGGACCTTCGACATGCATGTTTCTGCACAGTCTCCTCTTGTGATCCTCCAAACTTGAAAAAGTCATTTAACCTGGTCTTCTGTCTGGTTACTGCACCCTCCCGCAGCACTGCCAATGCCAAGACCACCCTTCATGTCGGGCTCGGGGTGCCTGAGTGCTAGGCCCCATCACCACCCCCAAGAGAACCTCTCTGGCAGCCCCTCTGAAGCTCGTCGCACACGTTCCCTCTTTCTCCCGGCTTGCAAGCACAAGGAGCACGCTTCCTGAGGGAGAGGCATGCCAGACACAGAGCGAGGGAGGGCAGATGCCAGCTGAGCGCACAGCAGAGCTGAGGTGGGGCTCATCATGAGTGCCGGGTTCTGCCTGACTGTCCCCAGCACATGGACGCCCTTGGCCCTCACATGCGATACTAAACGTGAAACAGCGCCCAGGGCTCCTTGTGACCCATGGTTCTCGCCCTCGGCCCCAGTCCTTGGAGGCCACCTGGTTCGAGCCCTCAGAGGTTACACCTACTTGTCAACACCCACATCGAAACACACCATGCATGCTGCTTGCTATTTCAGGATCAGCCTGTCTTAGGACCTTGCTCTCTGTTTAGACTTGGCGGGGGTGGGGGGATGCTCTCCCTTCTGTGCCCCATTTGAGGGCTCTAACTGGCCTCTGTATAGTAGGGGACCCCTCCCCCCAGGCTCAGGGACCATTCAGCATAAGGAGCTTCCAGAAGAGCCCCAGACCACATCAGCAAGCTGCCTAATGGCTGGTTCCCTGGGAGCTGTGCCCACACCCCACCTGACTGGCCTGTACCTCTCCTGCTCTACAAGGCCGTTTACCACACTGTCCTTCCTGTCCTCCTCATTACACACCATCTGCAGGAACCTGCAACAGCTCACACTCTGCTCGGCTCCCAGCAGCTGTCACCCTGGCCCCATCCACACTGCTGCCAGGCCCACACACGCTGGGCTTCACAGCCTCAAGGAGCATGACCAGGGTGCAAAGGGCACTGCTTATTGCTTGTTATCACTGTCAAAACTCCACAGGACAGAGACACACCTGCTCCGTTCATCACTGTGTTCCTGGCACCTAACCAAGTGCCCCAAGATCCCACCTGAGGGAAAGAAAGAGCTTCCACCTCCCATCACCTGGATCCCTGCCATGTCTCTCCTCCCTGGACCCGCACGTGCTTAAGTGCTGGGGACCCCAGCCACCCTGCCCCATTTACCAGTTTGGGGTTGACCTCGGTGGAGATGAGCCTCAGAAGGCAGCTGAGGAGACGCTGCTTGTGGAGAGTGGCGGGCGGGGGGCCAGGGCAGGGACCCTGGTCCTCAGGGCCCAGCACGGCCAGCCAGTCATACTCCAGCTGCAGCTTGCTCGGCTTGCCCATCATGAGGTAGACTTCGGCCAGTGTAAGGCTCTCAGAGGTCTGCAGGTTCCAGCCTTCCTCACGGAGCTGCTGGGCCAGCCGGCTGGCAGGGACCTCCTTTAGGGGCCTGGCAGCAGGCTGTCCCTGAGGCGGTGGGGGCTCTGAGGGGCTCCCCTTCTCTTGGGGCTCCTCTGCAGGTGCATCTGCTGAGTCTTTAGTGCAAACATCTGGCAGGAGCCCAGGGCCAGGGCTGGGCTGAGGGTCCAGGCCAAGTGGGGCAAGGTCAGCAGCCTCCCTGCTGTGGGGTGCAGGAGCATCTGGGGAGGGAGCTCCTGCAGGGAGAGGGTGCTCGCTCCCGGGCTGAGTGTCCGCACAGCGGCACTGCTCAGGGACAATGAGGTCCTGACAGGACTTCAGGTAGCGGGGAAAGGGATCAAGGAGTGAGAGCTCATCCTCCAGGTCTGGGAGGTGGCCATAGGCACATGGCAAGGGCCCCAGCTCTCGGGTGGGGCCGTCCCTGCCTGCTGTAGGAATCTTCTCAAGATGTTGTTCAGGGTCCTGGTGCCTGGGGGGAGGCCGGTCCGGAGCGTCTGGGCTACTCAGGCTCGGGGCAGCCCCCTCCCCAGGGACACTTTCAGGGGAGCTCTCTCCAGAGCTCTGCGAGGTGTCAGCGGTGGGAGGAGGCCGTCCCCCGCCCTTGCCCTCAGCACTGCCCCGCGGGCACTTCACTTGGCCCCGGGCTGTGCCCTGCCCACTCTGGATGCCCAGGATCTGGGCTGGGGGCAGCGCATGGGCGTCCTTGGTGCTCTGCTTGCACCGGCTGCCCTCCTGCCAGTGCACCGTGCAGAAGGCCTTGGAGTGCACCACACGGGCCACACCTGGCAGCGGTGTCAGCGTGCAGTTCTCACTGGGGAACAGGTGCAGCATCACCTTCTCTTGAGTGGGCGCAGCACACGAGTCCTGCAGCTGCCGCTCTTCGAGGGTCTTCCGCTGAGTGCACTGTCAAGGACCAACTGGTACTAGCTGGCATCAAAGTGGCACTGCTCGCCAGGCACATGGCTGGACACGTACCGTGTGCCTGGGGCCCTTGCCAGCAGCCACACAAACCCCTGGCATCCCTGGGGCTTAGCTCACACCCCTGACACCTGACCCAGGGGCTTTCTTCACACCATTACCAAATAACGCGGACACCAGCATGTAGTGTCTTTGGAAGACCCACACTGATGCACACCGAGCCTGTCTGGGGAATGGGCAGTGCCAGGAGTCAGGCTGGGCTGAGGAAGGCTGGGCTTTCCCAGGGTCATCTCACTCTACCTGATGGCGGGGATGCTCTGGCCACTGACACTTGCAGGGTCTTGACACTGCAAGGACTCCATATAGGGGGCTCCATACCCAAAACGCAGGGGACAAAGGGTTCCGGGTTCTAGTTCCAGCTTTTCACCTGCCAGGCACAGCTGCTATGCCCCAAGGGGCCCCACAACAACAACACGTACTAGGAAGCAAGACCCCGTCCCTACGCAGCAGCTGCTGCGGAGTTTGGAGGTTTGCTTTAGTCAGAAAAAGATACAATTCGCACTTCATGGAGTGCCCACTTCTGCTTCAGGAATTCGATGAGGCTGGAGACCTTTCGGTGCAGCTCCACGATCATCCTACAGAGATGGAGGACGAGGAAGGGAGGCTGCTGCCACAGAAGGGACCTCTGGAAGATCCCCAGGGCTGCCTGCAGCAAGATGCTGCCAGACAGAAAAAGGACCTCAGAAGGGGCCCAGTGCTGCCTGCAGCAAGATGGTATCAGACAGAAAAGGGACCTCAGAAGGGGCACCAGGGAGTGGGCACTAGCAGGGTCATCATCAGCTCTTTCTCCTGAAAATTAACCTTTTCAGTGGAGTACAGAATCTCAGCCAGGACATGGACACTGGTGCAGTCCACCGTCCCATTCATTAGCTCCTTTGGGTTCAGGAAAGTTGGATCTGCATAGCACTAATTAATCCAAATGGAAGGGATGAAGCACTGACACGTTCTACAACACAGTGAACCCTGAAAGCATTGTGCTCAGTGGAAGAAGCCAGACACAGGAGGCTTCTGTGGATCGTCCCATCTCGCCCAATGAGACAGAAGGCAGCCTGTCGTGGCCAGAGGCTGGGGAGAGGAGAGATTTGGGGAGTGATGAGCACAGGGTCTCCCTTGGGGTGATGAAAATGTTGTGAAACCAGACAGAGGTAGAGGCTGCACAACACTGCAGATGTACTAAATGCCACTGAATTGTTCACTTTAAAACAACTAATAGGGGCTGGCCTGTGGCTCACTTGGGAGAGTGTGGTGCTGGCAACACCAAGTCAAGGGTTAAGATCCCCTTAGCGGTCATCTTATAAATAGATAGATAAATAAAAATTTAAAAAACAAACAAATAAATAAATAAATAAACAAACGACTAATAGGTTAGCTCAGTTGATCAGAGCGTGGTGATATAACACCAAGATCAAGGGTTCGGATCCCTGTACCGGCCAACCCCCAAAAAATAAATAACAAAAATAAAATGAAATGGCTAATGGTTTATGTCATGTGAATTTTACCCCATTTAAACATTTCTTTTAAAGGTACAAATGGAAAATGGCCCATACACACAGTGGTACCCTATGCATAAATTAGACGCCGATCTTCAGGGAGCCACTAGGAGAGGTAAGGACTTTATGGGGAAAGATGACAGGAAGGCTCTGCAGCCACTCAACCTTCTCACCACCACATCCTCCTACGGTTTGCACACAGCCCTCAAGACCCCAGCCCAGGGGGGACCTCAGTGTTCCCAGGCCCCCAGAGTCTGAGGCCCCCACTGCCAGCAGTCCCCCCCACACCCTGCCCTCCTGTGATGTCAGGGCACTGGAGTGAAAACTGAGTCCTACTGGGAGTTCCTGAGAGAAACCCACTCATTGCCTCGAGAGCTCGGGCAGCTGAGATCCCCTCTTAATCATACTAAAGGCTGGTTACCTGAGGCGTGGGTTCTGGGCCAGGCTCTGCACGCGGGCCCAGGCATGGTTGTTCCGTGGCTGCAACTCTATAGGGACTTTCAGGGGCAGGCGCACTGGCTTCTGGTCCTCTTCGTCACTCAACCCTGTGACAGGGAGGGACTGTGAAAGCCTAGTACAGACCAGCCTTGAGGCAGAAACCAAAGTGCTTGGCCAGAAAACCCACAGAATCAGAGAGCTATGGGCAGACCACCTCATGACAGGAAGCAAGCACACCAGAGGGACCCCAGCAAGGGAGGGCGTCCAAAGGGGCAACCTGTGCATCTGCAAAGGCAGAGCCACAGAGAGGATGCCAGGGCCTGGACCCTGACCATGCTGACTGCTCTGAATGCTCCATGGCTTCTGAGCTGAACTTGACCTAGCAGACAAGGTTGTAACATGGAGCATTTAAATTCACGAGCTGTCCCTTTGAAAGACTGAGATGAAGCAGGGTCAGACACAAAGCATTCGCAGCGGCAACATCTCCAGCTCAGCCTGTCCATCATTAGATGGGACAGAATAGATGCTACCTCTGGCCACATGAGCTACAGGCCGTGCACCCCTCCCACACCATTCACATACCATCTGGATCGCAGAGCTTCTTCAGGGCCCGGCACATGGGTGCTTTGATCCGCAGGTTTCTCCCTTTGTAACGTACCGTGGTGGCCCTGGGAAAAGAATTTTGAAGAAACGCTTAGGCCTCTGGATGAATGGCAGGAAGGAAGGAAGGGCTAGTATGTCTGAAGTGCACGGAGCTAGATCAAGAGGGGCCTTGCCAATGTCCACCTGGCCTCCAGGCTCTCCTTGCCAGCCCACGAGGCTCCCGCATGACCCCACGTGGTGAAAGCTACAACACTGTGATTCGACGTCCCGCTGCTTTCCCAACCATGCCTCACATGCCAAGGGTGCCTGCTGTGCACAGGGACTTGTGAGGCAGCAGCAGCTGTCCTGTGCCCTGGGAAGTGCAGGGCACTGCAGCCCCCATAGCACAGCCGCTCTTCTCTTCATCTCTCCTCTCTGTGTGCTCCTCCGCCTCAGGCCCTCACAGCAGAAGCTCTTGGTCTACTACTACATGACCTCTACATGACCACCACATGGCATCAACTTTGTCCCCTAGTCCCTCTGTAAACCACACAGGAAGGGCCTGGAGCGCTCACAGCCAGCCACCCAATGGATGGTGAATGAACATGGGTTTGTATGTTTTACAAAATGCTCAAGGTACGTGCATATTGTTTGTATGAATTTCTGCTTTAACTTTTTCAGCGGACCAATTCACAGCTGTGATCATGTCAGGTAAGAGAGCTGCTTCTGTACTTGCTATTCAACTTTTAAGAAATAGTGGAAAAATTTACAGAATGCATATGGTATGATTCTAAAAATCTACAAAAATTATACATTCATATCTATATATGTTTATATATATATATATATATTTTGTCTTTTGTCTTTTTTCCGTGTCCGGCATCGGATCGCAACCCTCAGTGCTGCCCCCGCACCAGACCGGGGACCGGCAACGGGATTGCAACCCTCGGCGTTGCTCCCGTGCCTCGCTCAGCCAGTGAGCGG